CCTCTAGTACTGCTGCTTTCAACACAGTAGCTGCTTTTAACAGAGTAGCTGCTTTCTGTGGCGCCTGTGGTTCAGTGAGTAGGGTGCCGGCCCCATATACTGAGGGTGGTGGGTTTGAACCTGGCCCGCCAAACTGCAACAACAACAACAAAAAGTAAATAAACAGAGTAGCTGCTTTCAACACAGCAGCTACTTTCTACACAGTAGCTGCTCTCTACACATACGTTACTGGTCTGCATAAGTACACTATGGCACAAACTCTGTCACATATGCCTGTATTTGTATGGGGGTATATGTGATGGGGTTGGCGCAATGATGTCATCACTCCAGGTACTCGTATGTGGGTATATCTGCATGTGGGAGGACCTGCCTGGAGACAGGTAGAGGAGCGGTAGAGGAAAATGTTTTCTGATGGTCTTAGGTGACCCCTCTGAAAGAGTCGTTCAATCCTGAAAGGGGTCGTGACCCACAGGTTGAGAACCTCTGATTTAGGAGAAAGTTAAAGCTTGTGTTAATTTCTTATTTGTCAAATGATGCTATGAAATTCTCCATTTCACTGTTGAGATTTGGGGACATCCTCTACTTTCTACTTGAATCTAGGAAACAAATGCCTTCTTACATTTAGAATTTATATGATGATTTGTACTACAAATCACCGTGTACATTCCAAACATAATAAGCTTTTTGCTAAATTGGTTTTATTCAGGTTGTTCATCAGCTATTAATATTCTTTTAATAACCTGTAATACTCATTGGTCCTTAAAGTAGAATATAGGGAACAGAGGATGTTCCCAGGAGATTGACTTATTTTATAGAATTTAAGTTGCCTTGAGAATGTGCTTTTATGGTCTTATTAGAATTATACCATGTCAGTAGAGGGTAATCACTTAACTACCTCACAGCTGTCACCTGGTGACAATAATTATATACAAGATACCATTGAGTCTCAGAGTCATTCTAGTTTTAGAAATGCATTCCAGTTTTAGAAAATTATGAATAAATGCATGTCCTGGAATTATTGAAATCAGGTTTTTTGAAGTCACTAACAGAATTTCTTCTTCTTCTTCTTTTTTTAAAATGAGGTCTCCCTATGTTGCCCAGGCTGGTCTTGAACTCCTGGACTGAAGAAGTCCTCCTGCCTTAGCCTCTTGGGTAGTTGGGATTATAAGCATACATCACATCACTGCATCTGGCACTAACTGAATTTAAAAGAGATGGTTATGACAATCTAGCATTCTAATTTTCTATGATTAGACCAGTATTACACACTGAGAATTTTTTATTTGATTGTTTTGAACTTGCAAATTTATTTATTTAGAGATGGAGTTTCACTTTGTCATTATTGGTAGAGTGTTGTGGCATCATAGCTCACAGCAACCTCAAATTCTTTCTTGGGATCAAGTGATTCTTTTGTTTCAGCCTCCCAAGTAGCTGGGACTACAAGTGCCCACCATAACGCCCAGCTAGTTTTTTTTTTTTTTTTAAAAGAGATGGAGTCTCCCACTTGCTCAGGCTTATCTTGTACCTGTTTGCTCAGACAATCCACCTGCTTTGGCCTCCAGAGTGCTAGGATTTCAGGTGTGAGCCACCGTGCCCAGCATACAGCAGCATTTACATCATCCTAGAGATCATTAGATTCTTGCTCATTTTCAAAGATCATCAGCTATCACTGTCCAGATTCTGAGAGTTGTTGTAGTCTAGTGGCTTTGAACAAGGAGTATTAACAATTCTTTTTTTTTATGTACAGTCATATTCAGACTGGAGTTGTGTCCATTTATTAACAATGTACATTATGAAAAAAGTTATGATCAAATAAAAATGAGAATGTCTACATTTGCTTGATTAACAGGGAATATGTAATTATGTCCTACCCTATATCACTAGCAGTTCATCTCTGTGTGTTCCAATAGCATAGTTCCAAAGGTGGCATTTCTTCATTCCTAGTCCTTTTAGAATTTGGGAGTAGGAAGGAAGGGATGACGCACAGATAGAAATAAAGTGGACGGCATTTAAAATTCTGAGGGTCCCAAACTTTCCTTGAGTTCTCATCTCTAGCTGAATTATCTTTTACTCCATTCATTTACTCCTTGTCTCAAATCCTTTGTATTCTCAGATTTTGTTTAAATTTCTCCCTTTGGGTTTGTTACCCATGCTCTAAGCCTAAGCCCAAATCCTGTCTACAGATTCCTCCATACAAAGATCTTCTTATTCTACTATTTATACCTTTTATCAGAAGATATCTTTTTTCTTTGTCACCCTTGGTAAAGTGCCGTGGCTTCATAGTTCACAGCAACCTCAAACTCCTGGGCTCAAGTGATCCCCTTGCCTCAGCCTCCCAAGTGGCTAGGACTACAGGTGCCTGCCACAATGCCTGGCTATTTTTAGAGATAGGATCTCGCTCTTGCTCAGGCTGGTCTTGAACTCATGAGCTCAGGCAATCCACTTGTCTTGGCCTCCCAGAGTACTGGGATTACAAGTGTGAGCTGCTGCGCCTGTTAGGGTTATTTATATGTTCATTTTTCCTATTAGATTTTGATACTGAATTATTCAGGTTTATATTGTTATATTATCTCCTGTATGCATGCAATGAATGTTTCTTAAAGCCTTGTACATTTTTAGATATATACATTACTTCTTTTAATTCTTTTCCAATAGACAGTAGAACCTTCATAGCTGACCGCCTCCCTAAACTGACCACCTCCTTAAGTTGACCTAATTTTTGTAAACAGGATGTGTATCACATGTACATTTCAGTACAGTAGGCCTCGTTCCCTATGTTCACCACTGTTACAGTCCTTTTGGTGGTCAATTTACAGCAGTCCTATTGTGTATTAATAGTTTGGTTGAGCCTTGAAAACACTGGGGCTTAGGTATCACCAAGCTCCTGCATATTCAAAAATCCACAACAACTTTTAACTCTCCCATAACTTAATGGCCTCCTGTTGATCAGAAGCCTTACTGATAACATATACAGCCAATTAACACAGATTTTTGTATGTTGCATGTATTATACACTGTGTTCTTACAATAAAGTAAGCTGGAGAAAAGAAAATGTTATTTAAGAAAATCATAAGAAATAGAAAATATATTTACCATTAAGTGAAAGAGGGTCATCAGAATGGTCTCCATTCTTGCCGTCTTCTATTGAGTGGGCTGAGAGAAGACTTGGTCTTGCTGTCTCATGGGTGGTGGTGGCAGAAGCGATGGAGGTGGAAGGGGAGGCAGCAGAGGCAGGTGCACTTGGAGCACTTTTATTGAAAAAAATCTACCCATACGTGGACCTGTGCAGTTCAAACCTGTGTTGCTCTAGGAGCGACTGTGTAATTTTGTTATATTTACTAAATGTTTTCATTTGTCACAACTCCTATGGCTCTGGTCTTGGCTGCATGAAGGAACCAGGTGACCCAGCAGACTTGGTAGACACCTCCACTCCCTGGAGCCCCCATTCCTTGCGCGGCTCGAGGAGGAGGTGGTCCCCTAGCTCAGGGAAGGTGGGCAGGGTGGGGCAGGCGCCACGTGGGGTCAACCACCCTGCCCCCAGTCCACCCTCCACCACCGCTGCTGCCCCCCAACCATGCTTCCCACAGCCTGGGGGCGGGAGAGGGGACGACATGGTTGCATGGACAGACCTGATGGAGGGCGCTGGCAGAGCCATGCCTGCTAGGACAAACCCTTGTGTTGAGGGCTATGTTAGCTTTTTTTTTTGCAGTTTTTGGCCGGGGCGGGGTTTGAACCCACCACCTCCGGCATATGGGGCCAGCGCCCTACTCCTTTGAGCCACAGGTGCTGCCTTATGTTAGCATTTTTAACTGTGAGACTGTTCAACCAGTCTTCTGTTTAATCTGAGCTGCCATAACTGTCATTGAGGTATTTTCTTCCTTATTCATGTTTGTATCACATACTTCCTCCTCTGAGGAAGGGCCAGAAAAACCTTCATACACTTCTGGTTCCCAGTCTCCTCAGGTCTAGGTTCCCACTGAACTTCACTATCCTCCTCAATTTCAAATTCTGCTTGAACATTACCTCCTTCCTCAGTTTCTAATTCTTGGGACTCCCTGAACAGGAAGTTATCCATTGTTTTTATTAAATCTCTTTGCTTATTATTTATCAAAATCCCCACTTATTCCGAGGGAGGTTCCTTTGATTCTGGCCAGAAGGTCCCACTTACTCTGAGTGGAGTTTACCTTTGGGACTTTCCGCTGTCTATTGAAGGCTTCACTTGCTTCCAAGTGTCCTCTTCTTCTGTCTGAGTCTTCGGTGAACTCCTGCATTCTGCTGTATCCTGCCAGCTACTGCAGATGTCACAACCCCTACAGCCCTGGACTTGGTTGCCACAAGAAAGAACCAGGCGTGACACTGATTACAAGTACAAGCTTGCGGGAGGCAGGCTAAACTTAAGTGCAGGGTAGCCCTGAGTCCCCTCCACAACAGCTGTTTATTAAGGTTATATACAACAGGTGTGGAGGGTTAAGGTAATTACATAGGAGGGCTGCATGCGTAAGGGTTGCCACCTGTTCTTTCCTCACGTGCTCTTCCCCCACAATCCCCATGAAGAAGTACCAAGCATCAATGTCTACCACATGCTTACTAACGAGTGACCGATCTTATCTCATTCTGGAACATTGAGTTACTTGGGGGATTGCCTCTAAGTCACAAAACGTCTCTAGGCTTGCCAGGAGACTGTCCTGTTCTAAGTGTTTCTCTTTAATGTGGTAAGAATCAGTAACTGTCCTTGTAAGCATGGTGTCCATTCCTCTACATTCATTCTCAACATTTTGCCAGTAATTTTCTAAAATATAAAGTGATTCTTTTGCTGGTTACTGCTTCATAGTGTAAAAGACAAAAATAATTACATAATTTTTTACAGCGTTATCTCATGATATAATAGATATTATGTGTATTAATGTCTATATTATATCTATTATACAAATTTTATTAATTATATAGCCTTACATTTATGGAATACTATTTTTATAAATAATGCTTTTTTTTCTTTGTAGGTTACTTCCTCAGAATGTTGGCCTTCTCTATGTTGGAGGTTATGAAAGACCCTTTGCACAAATCAAGGTATGACTGCTCATGTTTAGGGTACTTTCCTTGATGTTCACTGGTTCAGAACCCATCAAGTATATCAAGAATATTGTGAATATGAAGTAATAGTTTGATTAATGGTTGGATATTTCTGCTGAAAAAGTCATCCAGCTTTTCAAAAGAATTGATTATTTTAATATTCTTGGACACAGCAGCATGGACTTAATACTGAAACAATTCAGTGATTAATTTAAAAGAGTACATTTGGAGCTGTTAATATTTCAGATTATCCCTTTGACATTAAAAAATTTTAACTGCTTTATTGAGATATGATTGACATATCACAAACTGTACATATTTAAAGTGTGCAGTTCAATACATTTTGACATGTTTGTACTTTTGGAACTATCATGGCAATAAAAAAAATGAATGTATCTATGACCTCAAATAGTTTCCTTGTGCCCTTTTGAAATTTCTCCTTGCTTCCCTTTCTGCTTTCCTTCCCGCTCCCAGGCAACCACTAATCTGATTGGTGTTTTATAAATTTGCATTCTCTAGAATTTTATATAAATGGAATCATGCAGTATACATTCTTTTGCCTCTTACTTGCATAGATTATTTATCTGTATTGTTAGACTTATTACTAGTTTATTCTTTTTTATTTCCAAGTACCATCTCATTGTATGGCAAAAGTTTATCCTTTCATGTACTGATGGAGGTTTGTTTCTGGTTGTTTCTGGTTTTGGTGGAGTTGGCAACATTCTCTTCACAAATCTCCCTTATTGTCCTGTTTACTGAATTAGGTAGTGTAACCAGGAATCCTAATAAGTTTCAACAGGAAAATTTCTGACTGCCCAATTTTTTTCTGTCCAGTGGATTGGAAAATCCTGTTTCTCCTTATTAGAACTGAAATAACTAAAAAGTAAGAGGCTTATCTGATATATTTAGGGAGGGATAGAATTTTTTTGCATATGACTATTAGTTTCATGGGGTCTTAAAAGCATTATCTCAGGGTATACATGAAGGTAATTGCTCAATACTCACCTGATTCTTTAACCTACCAGTTTTTTAATCCGGGCATTTCCTAATGAGCTCAGTGACAGAAGTCAATCCTTTGTCAATCCTTTATGCTTAAATAATCAGCTGTCTGGAAAAAAATTTTATTATTTTAAGTGTTTTTTTCCTTTGATGATGTTGTGGGAAAGGTTTCTGTCATTCACCATGAAGGTATTTCTTATCCTTATTAAATTGTTGAAGCTCTTTCATAATTCCTATGGCTCTATCTAATTAGACCCCTACCTAATTAGAATATGAGTTAATTGGAAAACAATTTTAAAAACGCTATAGTTCAAATGCTTGAGATAATGCTGGAAATTTGCTGTGTTTGTTTTTTTCCCATTGAACTAAGTGTAATAATAATATAATATATCATAAATATGATATATGACCTTTTAAAAATGGAGACGCCTTTGCTTTCTTTCCTTAAGACTATGTTCGTTGTTGATACTTTTAAATAAGTCATGATATGAAATTATTCACTTGATCATTGAGGAAAAAGAATTCCCATTTATTAATAACATCACAGGACTTAATGAGTTCTTCAGTGTGGATAGCTTATTGTTAAGAGGGTTTGTTTGCTAAAGTGATATTTTACAATTGTTTTTCTAAATGAAACTCCATTTTATAAAGATGAGAAAAAGAAAAACATAACAAAGATGATAGATGGTTGGGTACTGAGTTCAGTGAACTGTGCAGCAGCTCTCAACCCCGGCACTGTTAGTAGACATCACAGCCACTCTCGCAGGTAAACACACATTCTCTTGTTCTTTATCTAGTGTTTAGGTTTTTAATCCAAGCCTTGCATGTATAAATATGGAACTTCCTATTTTACTCTCACACTAATGCATCTTCATGCTAATTCCAGGTTCTATTGTTGTTAGTGGAAGTTATTCCATCTCTTATCTCTCTTTTTTTTTTTAAGATAGAGTCTCAGGCTCTTGCCCTGGGTAGAGTGCTGTGGCGTCACAGCTCACAGCAACCTCAAACTCTTAGGCTTAAGCGATTCTCTTGCCTCAGCCTCCCAAGTAGCTGGGACTACAGGCGCCCACTACAAGACCCAGCTATTTTTTGTTGTTGTTATTGCAGTTGTTTTAGCTGGCCCAGGCCAGGTTGTTGTTTTAGCTGACCCAGGCTGGGTTCAAACCCACCAGCCCTGATGTATGTGACCAGCACCCTACCCACTTATTGGTGTAGGTTATTGGTGCCGCCAACTCTTAATCTCTTAACATCTTTGATAAGTCATTGGGAAGGTTCTTTATCAAATAAACTGAGTCCTCTTATATTGGTATATAATTTTCAGCCAAGGCAGTGACTCTCTCTTCAAGTCATTGACTTCTTTCAGAATCCTATGAAAGCTATGAACCCTCTCTCTAGAAAAATTACACACACAGAGTTTTATTTATAATTTCAGAGATTTCATGAAGCCCACTGAAATGCATTCAAGGACCCTAAATTAAAAACTTTTTAAGAAGTGAATAATTCAGAGTGAATTTATTTTAAAACACTTTTTAAAAGGTGAATAAAATATGTTTTTCCAGGTTTTTCACTTAACCAAGAAGATACTGACTACATAAAAGTTTTATTCATAGAAAAATTTTTACTTGAAGACCTTGATTTTTTTTTTTTTTTTGAGACAGAGTCTTACTACGTTGCCCTGAGTAGAGTGCTGTGACATCACTGCTCACAACAACCTCAAACTCTTGGTCTTAAGTGATTCTCTTCCCGCAGCCTCCCAAGTAGCTGGGACTACAGGCGCCCACCACAATGCCCGGCTATTTTTTTGTTGCAGTTATTATTGCTGTTTAGCTGGCTTGAGCCGGGTTCAAACTCACCAGCCCAGGTGTATGTGGCTGGCGCCCTACCCACTGAACTATGGGTGCCGCCAAGACCTTGATTTTAAACATGCATGATTATTCTCTTGTTTTGTCCTAAAATATATAAGTTAAATAAAAGTACTAAATAAATAAGGTGTTGCTGTTTGCCCCCATTGACTTTCCTAGAACCTGGCTAAAGTGGAGGAGGTCAGCGAGACAAATAAAGGCTCTCACACTCAGCCACTGGCGGGCAATAACTGATGAGGCTCGGGGAGGCAAGCACTCTGACTAGCGTAAAGGGTGGGGAGAATGCGCCTGTCTGAAATCTCACCAGGCCTTCCTTTGTGTTTTAACAAATCATTTATAATACAGCATTAGCTGATTTATCATGCTTATTTAGGAGTCAAGGAAACTATGTTCCCACAGATGACATGTGCATGGTCTTGTATAAGACCTAAGGGGAATGGACAAAGGGGGCAGATGTTACTTCTTACTTATACTGCTAATCTATTCCATCCAGCCTAAGTGACTGCTTTCTAATCTTATCTTTTAACTTGTTTAAAACCTGTTAAGTGTTTTATTCTTGGGCTGCATTCAGCATTCAAGATAGGGAGCCAGGCTCTTGCCATTTGAACTCCTCATAAATGCTTTATCACTTTTTTTCCTTTCATAATTTTTCTGGCCTTTCCCTATAACAAGGTATATGTAAAACCAAATAAAACACTGGTCATTTTGTAATGAGTTGTAATACAGAATTAGAAAGGAGATGGCTTGCTTAGCCAGTTCCTGTTTTGTGCTATTAATGAATTAGACATTACATTTACGCAAGACTGTAACTTCTTTTGACTTTACTGAAACTGTTTCTAAATGCAGTTTAGAATTTTATTAAGTAAGAAATATGTTTTATACCTTTATATTCAGTCTTTAAAATTTAGAAGGAAAGTTTTGATTAAAATAAAATTTTGGTTTAATTGTATTTACATATTTTTAAACTGTCAGAAGTTTTCCCAAGTTTCTTATATGGAGGTTAGTGGTTGGGTGTTTCCATATATCCTTACCTGATACCTTTATCGCAACAATGTGTGTTTATATATTCTTTTAATCGTATTATTATTGTTATATTATTATTTTGTAGATATGTTCTAGTTATGTAATTGTTTACATTTTGTATCAGTTATTCTATGTTGCTTTCTGGAGCATTTCATGTTTCCTGTTTGGTTTTTGAGACAGTATCTCATTCACCAGGCTAGGGTAGAATAGGGTCATGATAGGTCACAGCACCCTCAAATGATCCTCAGGTATGTGCCCCCACACCCAGCTAGTCTTTCTATTTTATTATTTATTTATTTATTTATTTATTTTGGTAGACAAAGTTTTTGCTTTTGCTCAAGCTGGTATTGAACTCCTTGCCACAAGTGATCCTCCCACCTTGACCTCCCAAAGAGCTAGGGTTATAGGCATGAGTCACCACACTGGCTGCATTTCATAGTAACATAAAAATCTTAATGCTAATTCTCATGGGTTTCCAGTGCTGTAATTGTCACTTAGCAGCCAGAGTCTATAAAACCAAGAAGGACAGAAGCTTGTCAACATTACTGTTAATCAACCAAAATGTTGTTATGGAAAGACTCAAGGCCATGGAGTATCCCTTCCTCTGGGTTTTATATCAGTTTTGTCTCTTTCAGTTCTTCATAGCCCCAAAAGAGAACAACTATAAGACTGAGTCTGGTCCACATTTCCACTTTGACACTGCAGAAAGGCTTAAAAAAAAAGTCTTCTGTATTTTATGGTGTGAATGCTGTGTAGTAACCTATGTGAAAAGTAAGGACAGTATTTGGGATTATTTTTTCTGAGGCAGTTATTAGTAGTACTTCTAGGCTATTCTCTAGAGTGACTGTGTGCCATTCATCACAGGCAGAGTTTCCACTAAGCTTTCTGAGCTTGAATTTTTAAAAAAATCTCTTCATCCAGGAAATATAAATTTGGTATTTGTATTTATGTGCATATGTAATAGACACAAAGAAATTTTTTTTATAATTGTTGAAATCATAATTGAAAATCTGTTTAGCCATCCCCCTCAGACTTTTTTTCTATTAAACAAAAGTAGAATGCTTTTTCTTAAAGGTATTTAGAGTTCATGTTTTTTGTTATTTGTTATTTTTT